CAGCGTAAAATAGCAGCTTAACGCTGCTGTGTTTCGTATGGTGAGTGTAGAGAACCGGAGACCCTTTTTACTGGAAATGAGGCATTCCATCTTAGTCCTCACGGGTGACAACGCATCTGCATTTTGATTCGTAATCGAAGATAGATGTAGATGTCTATGGGCCGCAGCAACCACTTACCATCAGGTGGACTGTGTGATCGTTTGTCACCCTTATCCTATAAAAAAAAATGATGTGTCCAGTTTATAAGGTGCTACTTTTGCATTTTAGCAATACGTACTTGTAAATGTAATGCGATAAAATTTAATATGTTCAGTGGATTTGCAAACTTTTGTCATTATTCATAAATTGTTAACGCAGTTAAACAGGAAGCACATCATCGTCATTATAAAACAATAGAGTATTACTTTTCTTCCTAAAACATTATGCATCCTTAAATGTCCTTTAAGTATTCTTAAATGTCACATCTATTCGCTCACTAATCTATGGCAGCGAGGGAAGCATATTCTTATCGATACCAAAAATAAATATTTAACGGATCTCAAGTTAAACGTTATTCTACACCGGTTTACAATGTTATGGAAAACGTAACGAAATATGTTTATAAATCGTGGTTTGTTAAACGTCTCAGTTTACTCGTGGAGCAATTGTTGGTGTTATGCTCGAAAGGGAAATCAAGAGCACTTTAACCTTAGAAGAAAGCGATGGCGGGCACGTCTATGAAATAAAGTTAGAAACGTCCACGTTTATTAGCGAAATTATTATTAGATTTAATCATTATTTTACGTGGTAGGGCCATGCGGCAGCTATATTGTGTCCGGAATAGGACCACGCTCTCACAGAATACCAGCGTAAAATAGCAGCTTAACGCTGCTGTGTTCCGTATGGTGAGTGTAGAGAACCGGATACCCTTTTTACTGGAAACGAGGCATTCCATCCCAACACAGAAGAAGAACTCACTTCAATTCACTTAGCGGTCAGCCACCGCAGTCTATTTCACGTGAGGATGCCTCATTTAGATAAACACGTGTCTTATTATCGACGATGGAGTGTCTTTTCTGCCGACTTCCAAAAATGAGACGGTACTCAATTCGACTGTATGTTTTTTTTATGTGTGTTACCTCATAACTTTTTATTGGGTGAACCGATTTTGATGATTCTTTTTTAATATGAAAGCTGATACTTATCGTGTGGTCCCGTATGAATTGGATCAAGATCAGACCAATAGCTTTTGAGTTATTCTTAATAACTTATATTGAAGTCGGCTGTACAAAATGTTTAATTTTAAATTATGAGTTATAAATTATCTAGTATGGTGTTGGGAGTAGTGGTGTTGGGATTAGTAGTGATGGGGATAGTGCACGAAATTGAGGAAGGGCGGGAGGTATTCTTAAAACTAAGTAAGACTCGCCATTTCATTTTATTACGTAGGTCTTAGCTAATTAGGTTTTAACATTTTCTATCTTTATATATAAAAATTACGTGTCACGGTGTTTGTCCGCGATGGATTCCTAAACTACTGAACTGATTTCAATGAAATTTTGCACACTGCATTCAGTTTGATCCAACTTGAGAGAGAATAGGATAGTTTTTATCCCGATAAATGACCCTCAATATTTTTAATTGCGAATTTAAGGATTTTTTATATGACAAAAGGTCGTCGGAGAGGGCAGAACAACGTTTGCTTGGCGAGCCACTATAATATATAAATCAATTGCCGTACTTTAATCTCGCAAAAGCTCGAAAATGGCGCGACCGATTTTTATGATTTTTTTTCGTGTTTGTTTATGTTATTCCCCGGATGGTTTAGATTTAATATCGGACCTCTTAGGTGGCGCTGCTGTCGAGATCCAGAAATCACCCGGGAGAAGCCGAGGCTTATCGCTAGTCTTTAATACAGTGGATTTCCACATAGTAACGTCTGATTACATTATGAGCTTATGTTATGAGTTAATGAATAGGTAATGTAAGCCTCTCATATGAACATTCATCTCATTGTAACGCAGTTCTTTTTATTAAAAATACAGGCATACCAGCTCATTACAGTCCATTTTATTTTTAACAGACTTTAATTTTTTTTATTCGAATAAAAGGAGAAGGCTTTTTACTTTTTTGTATAAATGTCACGCGATATTTTCGTTAATCGCGAAACCGAATTTAATGATACTTTTATTATTAAGTAAGTAAGTAGGTTATACTTTACGGGAGAACCTATTATATGTTTGGGGAAAAATTTCACCGCTAAGGGTAGAAAAATGAGAAAAGTAGATTTCAAGGTAACTATTTAGACTACATTTTAGTTGTTAACTTGATCTTAAGATATTCCGTAGTCTGATCAAAAGGACCAAAAACGTACTTTAAATAAAAAATAAAACCTAACTTTAAATATCTAAAACTAATAAAATAATTTCTACATGATAGCTTCAGAAGTCGGTGCGAAGACACAAAAATTAACTAGTCCCGACTTCAGAAGTTCTTTCTCTCCTGCGAAGTTATTATTCCCACATGGTGGTGCGGTCTACCTTTCTAATTTTCCGCTTCCAATTTTTTCGGGCCACGCATCATATTCGGTTAAGTTGGAGGTGCTGAGATTTTTGATGACCACGTCTATCTATCTCATTTTCGGTTTGCTCCGTCTCCGAGGCCAGGTATGAATAAACCTAAAGCTTTGCTTTTAATGTACATATAGTTAAGAGGTAGGCGCTTTAAATGACCCCGTCAGAAGCTATTATGTGGATTTTTTATAGGATAGGGTAACAAACGAGCACACAATCCACCTGATGGTAAGTGGTTGCTGTGACCTACAGACATCTACATCTAACCTTAATAAAGAATCAAAATGCCTCTTTTCCAGTAAAAAGGGGCTCTGGTTCTTACTATTTTACGGTAGTATTCTATGGTCCTTCCCCGGTCGAGCCGACCCATTCGTGCTACAACTATACTACTAATATAGCTGCAGCATGGCAGCTACAACGTAAAATTGTATTTATTATTTTTAGTAAACATTTTTAAAAAAGATTTCACTTTCTTGTAACGGTTCATAGTACTAGTCTAAATTCTAAAGAATGTACCAAGCTTAAAGCTTCAGTAGGGAGCTTTCGGCGCTGCGTGCGTCGGGGCGGCACGTTTTTCATACAACTCGAGCAATGCAACACAATAGCTTAATATGTTTGTCATAAAGCCCCCATGCATGATGTTACTGAGACCTTACCCTAATAGTGACTTATCATAGAGTCAAATGAAACTAATTTTACGGGTTTTATCGCGTTTAATTTTAACTTTTTAATTCCTAACCTTAAGGATGCTTTACAGCAACCATGGTGGCGGGGAGACTGAAATGTTTGACGGACGTCCCAATATCATAGTTAGTCTACCTAGTTCGGCTACATTCGGTTTTTGAATGTATTCGAATGTATTGAACGTAATATGAAAAAAAAATGTAAACGTTGGGAATTAAAAAAAAAATAATCGAGATAAATTTCGTACAATCAATTCTATTTAATGTGTAGTGTTCGCGTAAATATAAGAAAGCATTATGATAAAGTCGTCGATAAATTTGATCTTACGATGCTACGATCTACAATCCATATCCTAAACCACAGAGCCTCCTGCGGTCGCATCTGGAATAGGATTCTAATTTCTTGAACAAAGAAGGATTATTAAGATATAAACATTAAAATGCTATTAATGCTCTAAGAAGTGGCAAGTTTTACTATTACATTTAAAGAGCCGCGGTAGCTCAGGGACTAAGCGCTCGCTGTAAATTTCACAGAACTCTAGCAACACGGGTTTGAACCCCGCCGGCACTTAATTAAATTTTCTTGATTACAATTGCAAGCATTACATCTGTCTTCAGGAGTGACAACTCATATGCATTTTGATACTTAGTCGAGGATCGACGTAGATGTATATGGGCCACAGCATCCACTCATCATAAAATGGACTGTGTGCTCGTTTGTCACCCTTATTCTATAAAAAAAATGCTCGGTGGAGAAAGTAAATTCATCGTCACAAAGTCTGAGGAATGAAAATATTTTAAAAACATGTGAATTCCGCCAACACGCATTGCAGCAGCGTGGCAAACTATTTAGTCCATAACCCCCTTTTTTTTAAGAGGTCTGTGCCTAGTATTGGGATGTACATAGACAATAACTTTTAACTTTAACTTTTTAAGTTGTATTAAAATATTAGACAAATAAATAAAAGAAAAATTTAATTTTCTCCCATGTTATAGATATGTCAAATAAGAAAGTTTCTGTTAGAGATAGCATTTATCTTAGAAAGCATTAAACCATAAATTTGCACAAATTACTAAGTGATAACTTCTGAGCCAACTTATGACTTACATACGGTTCAGTGAGATTTCTATTTGTCTGTGATTTACATAAAATATGGGCTACAGATTATTTATAATAGTTTATTCTTAAAAATCTTAGGTATTTTTTAAATTCTTGGTCAGTCAGTCTTTTAAGCGGTATTACGCTTAAATATAGACTTGTAAACTTTATTTTTATTTATTATTATTAGTAGTTGAAAAAAAATATCACCTCCACACTAGGATTTTCTCCTATATCGTGGATTTTCTCCTATATCCTATATCGTGAAATTTATGTATGCAGTTTACATACATAAATTTCACAAGGACAAACATTCCGACCCGCAACAATTATTTATAGCCCATACAAATACTTGTATATATAGATGTAGATGTCTATGGGCCACAGCATGTACTTACCATCAGGTGGACTGTGTGCTCGTTTGTCACCCTATCCTAATAAAAATAAAAACTTGTTCCGTGTTGGATTCGAACGCGCGGCCCTTTGCGCTGCAACTCATTTCTAGCCACTGCGCCACGGATCCGTCATGGTTATAGTGTACTTACGCACACATCTACATCGTTCACATACCATGTTACCTTTTGTTTCAAATTATACGGCAAATATAACAGAAAAAAGAGATAAAATAAATAAAACATAAAAATAAATTTAGTTCTTATGTAATATTAATCAAAAAAATTATAAACAATAATATAATAAGTTATAAGTTTACGGTAAATTAAAATAAAAATGCAACGTGAGATTGTACCTTTGCACTCGTTGGCGTCGCGAGCAGTCGCGCGTCCCCAGGGCCGGTCGAAGTGGAACGGCTTGCACCTCTCGCAGTCCCTGCCTGCAGTGTTGTGCTTGCAGTCACATGCCAGTTGCTGCACGCCCGTAGAGCCTTCCTCCGCCTTCGTAGGAATGCACCGGGAAGCATGACCGTTGCACTTGCATCGTCCACCAACCGCGAAGTCAGACACGGCATAGTGCTGCGTCCCTGGCGCCGCTTGCTTTTTATTATCCACTTCATCCCCTTCGTTCACCATGTGCAGACGATTAAACACAACCCTAACGTCGGTTGCCGTCACCCAATCTTGGAGTACGGGGGATATATCGAAATTAGCAGCACTCGGACGCCCTTCTAAGGTGCTAAAAGCTAGTCTAGCTGCTCCAGAACTTTCGCCTGCTAATCTATGGGAGTCGGAGCATCTCGCTTCCTGCTCGTTCGCTGCGGTAACTGTGGCTTTATTAGGTCTACCGTAGACCCTGCGGCATTGACTCGAATAAAACTGGAAGGGTTGCCAAGTAACACCATAGTCAGCGCTCTTATAAATAGCAACGGAATCGGGACGTGCGGCTTTTGGACAAAACTGCAAGCTGACGTACGTCAACTCATACTTCTTACCCAAGGATAAAGTCAGAGAGACATTATCAGGAGGTGAGTCGTATGACGCAGGAGGTAGGGAAGCGGATCGCCAACAAGTAACATCATGGGGGTTGTTGAGGTCGGTTAGATGAGATGGAGGATGACGTCGGTCAGATCTAGCAGCGTCGCATACGCGACAGGCACTGTCGGGCGGCTGGTCTCCGGGAGGGTCGCAGAGGCTTTCCGGACCGCGTCTTCCGCATGTCGAAGAGGCGACAACAGGGGCACCGAAGGCGGCGTTGACGAAGTCCGGGATACAGCGTCTCGGGCGCTCGTCCTCGTAGCAAGGGTCGGGCGGGGAGGCGGCGAGGGCCAGGGCCGCGGTGGCCAGCAGAGCCACAGCGCGGACGGGCATACTCACTCACTGTCACACACTCGCGAAAGCCGGACGCCGGCTGAAAATAACACACGTGTACACCGGTCGGACACCGCCGACTGACTGGCGCGGCGGCCCGGCTCCGCGGGGCGGGAGCTTACGGAGAGCTTTACGTCGTACGCATTGGCCGAATGTTTTAGTGAAAGTTTTTTTTCCGTTGCCGATAGAAAAACAGGAACAGATATGTCTAATATTGACAAATATGCAACCCTAGAGTCGTTTTGCGTGGAAGTTCCGCGTGCTTTGCCGCGCTTTGTTTTTTAGAATTACATTTTTATGAACTCAGAGATAATTTTTAATAAAAAGTTATTTGTTGGATGTAAATAAATATCGAACCGCAAAAATTATAACAGAGTAAATGTTTAACATATTTGGAATAATCAAAATTCAAAATGTGATTGTTTTTAATTATTAAAGACATAATAATGTAAGCATGTGATTTTTATTAATAATTTATTTAAACAACACAATATTTTAATACATCTATTTATAAAAATCAATTACTTTCCTAGTCTTGTTAAAACTCGAAACTGGCTCGACCAATTCTGATGAATTATTTTATGTGTGTTTAAGTGGGTCCCTGGACAGTTTAGATCCACAATTGAACCCGGTAGGTGGAGCTTTTCTCGAGATCTAGAAACCACCCGTGCGAAACCGGAGTGAATCTCTTGTTATATATTTTATATCATCAAACGCAAAAAAGTAAAATCAAGTATTTTGTTTTTAGAAAAAAAGAAGAGCTTTGAATTTTCTTCTTTCTTTTTTTTTTGTTTTAACAAAAGATTTTATACTATCAAATAACTTTTACATATAACGCGGTTAGAGTAAAACTTAAAATTTTACCACCCAATAATTATAATAGAATGTATGCATATCTTTCTAATATAAGACTTCAACGATTGCGTCACCATCAACATGGTAGCGGAATTAGACAATAGACTACCCCAGGAGGGTACCAGTACCCCTGGAGAATCCCTCGCTGAGCATCCACGACCATGTTATTCCAATCCTGAGCGTGGGTGCTCAGGCTGCCCCGCGTATTCTGGGGGGGGCAAAATTCCGCTCAAAAACAAAACTGCTCGGGGCAAGCTGAGCAACAATACCAAGGCGACCCCTGCCACGCTATCCGTGAATTTCTGCAACATCAGGGGACTTCACTCTAACCTAAACGCCGTCCACTACCATCTCGAGACGGCGAAGCCGGCCTTGCTCTTTTTGACCGAGACGCAGGTTTCCTCTCCGACTGATATTTCGTATCTCTCCTACCCGGGGTACAAATTGGAGCACTCCTTTGTGCCTCGGGCTGGAGTTTGCATGTATGTTAGAGAGGACATCTGTTCTCGACGCCTCGGCAGTCTTGAAGGTTCGGACCTGTCCATCCTTTGGCTACGCGTAGACAGCGACGACCATCCGCGCGTCTACGGGTGCCTCTATAGGTCCCATAGCGGTAATGCCGAAACAGACCGACTCATCGACCACGTCCAAATGGCTACAGATTCCTTGCTACAACAGGTCCCATCCGCAGAGATCGTGATCCTTGGCGATTTTAACGCCCACCATGCCGAATGGCTCGGTTCACGTTTAACCGATCATGCGGGGAGATCTGTTTATGACTTTGCCTTGGCATATGGTCTGACACAACTGGTTACTTCGCCTACGCGGATTCCAGATGTGGAGGATCATACACCTTCCCTGTTGGACCTTCTGCTGACCTCTCATCCGGACGGATATCAGGTTTCCGTCGATGCCCCTCTCGGCTCTTCGGACCATTGTCTGATCCGGAGTATGGTGCCACTCACGCTCCCTTCGCGGTTGCGTTCTGCAGGTTGCCGCCGTGTTTGGCATTACAGGTCGGCGGATTGGGACGGAATGCGGTCTTTCTTTGCATCCTACCCATGGGGGCGGGTTTGCTTCTCGCCGGATGATCCCAGTGCTGTTGCTGACTCTGTCACTGATGTGGTGCTACAGGGAATGGAACTATTTATTCCATCATCTGTGGTACCCATCGGAGGCAGATCTCAGCCTTGGTTTGGTCGCTCCTGTAAGACTGCATTGCGCAGTAAGCAGGAGTGTTATCAAGCCTGGGCTGCGGCTTCGGTGACTCGGGATGTAAACACCAGCACACTTAAAAAGAAGTATAACTTCGCCTCCAGGTCCTTCAAAAGAGTTATTGCCAAGGCAAAGTCAGAGCACATAGGCAGAATTGGCGAGAAACTTGTTCGCCTTCCTTCGGGAACCCGTGCATTCTGGTCTCTCGCCAAGGCTGTCCAAGGGAATTTCTGTAAGCCATCACTACCATCTCTGCACAGGGAGGACGACTCACTGGCCCAAGACGCAAAAGACAAAGCCGACCTTTTAGGCTCCCTTTTTGCGTCCAACTCGACTCTTGATGACGGGGGGAAAATACCGCCGACCATCCCGCGGTGTGAGTGCTCCATGCCGGATGTGCTATTCTCACAGCGCTCAGTTCGCAAAGCACTTCTCTCCCTGGACATCCAGAAGTCGAGTGGGCCTGACGGAATCCCCCCAATTGTGCTGAGGACGTGTGCTCCGGAGTTGGCACCGGTCCTAACGCGTCTTTTCCGGTACTCCTACTCCCAAGGCGTAGTCCCGAATTCATGGAAGACAGCTTTTGTCCACCCGATCCCTAAAAAAGGCGACCGCTCAGACCCGTCCAACTATAGGCCTATCGCGATCACCTCCTTGTTCTCCAAAATAATGGAATCCATTATTAACTGCCAGCTCATTCGGTACCTTGAGGATCACCAGCTGATTAGTGACCGCCAATACGGTTTTCGTCGGGGTCGATCAGCTGGTGATCTTCTGGTCTACCTGACCCATAGATGGGCGAAGGCAGTAGAGTCCAAGGGGGAGGCGTTGGCCGTTAGTCTGGACATTGCGAAGGCCTTTGATCGGGTTTGGCACAAAGCGCTTCTTTCGAAGCTGCCTTCCTATGGGCTTCCCGAGAAATTGTGCAATTGGATCACCAGCTTTCTTGCAGATCGGAGCATCAAGGTCGTTGTAGACGGTGCATGTTCTGACTACAAGCCTATTAACGCTGGTGTTCCACAAGGCTGTGTGCTATCACCAACGCTGTTTCTTCTGCATATCAATGATATGTTGCTAACTGGTAACATTCATTGCTATGCGGATGACAGCACTGGTGATGCTCTATACACCGGCCGGGCCAATATTTCTCGGGAAAACGTCGCCGAGTACCGGAACAAACTTGTGTCTGAAGTCGAGTCTTTGCTGGACAAAGTCTCGGATTGGGGGCGACTAAATCTAGTCCAGTTTAATCCTCAGAAGACACAAGTTTGCGCGTTTACCGCTAAAAAGAACCCCTTTGTCGTATCTCCTCAGTTTCAAGGCACTCCCCTTCTTGCCTCAGCCAGTATCGGTATCCTCGGAGTCGACATATCGAGTGACGTGCAGTTTCGTGGTCACTTGGAAGAGAAGGCCAAATTGGCCTCTAAAAAGCTTGGCGTGCTCAGCAGAGCGGGACAGTATTTCATGCCGGCACACCGCCTGCAACTTTACAAGGCGCAGGTTCGGCCTCACATGGAATACTGTTCCCATCTCTGGGCAGGGGCTCCCCAGTGCCAGCTCCTTCCACTTGACCGCATCCAGCGCAGAGCGGCTCGAATCGTCGACGACCGAGCCCTTTCCGATCGGCTCGATTCATTGGCACTGCGAAGAGATGTTGCATCTCTTTGCATTTTCTTTCGCATCTACCATGGGGAGTGCTCTGAGGAATTGTTCGGATTAATCCCAGCCGCCAAATTTCACGAACGCACATCGCGGCAGAACTCCCGATACCATCCACACCATCTGGATGATTGGCGGTCCACCACTGTGCGATTTAGAAGATGTTTTCTTCCTCGCACAACTTCCTTGTGGAATAGTTTACCACCAGGGATTTTTCCGGACCGATACGACTTAGGGACCTTCAAGAAAAGAGCGTACTCCTTTTTAAAAGGCCGGCAACGCATCTGCAATTCCCCTGGTGTTGCGGTTGTTCATGGGCGGCGGTAGTCACTTACCATCAGGTGAGCCGCATGCTCGTTTGCCCTCTCTCCTATAAAAAAAAAAAAAAAAAAAAAAAAACCAAATTTAATTGTACAGAAGAGCTTTATGAAAATACATTTGTTAAATTAAAAAGTAAAGTGACAAGCCTGCATTAATCCCACTGCTGATTACTTAAATTTCTGACACCCTCATGGTGGTGCGGAGATAAAACCACCGCTTATATACAAGACCTCCACATACGTTTCCGGATGTCACATGCTCTCGAAATATTTATTTTATTTTTCAGACATGGAGAATTCTTCACGGTAATTTCCATCAACGATGAACACGTGTTAAATCGATACTTATAATTGCAAATAACAATTTGCACTGAAGTTAGATTGCTCACATAGACATTTTAAGACGAAAGTTTATTAGATGAAACGACTTTTTTTTTTCTTTTTTATAGAATAAGGGTGACAAACGAGCACACAGTCCACCTGATGGTAAGTGGTTGCTGTAGCCCATAGACATCTATATCTATCTTCTGGGAATTAAAATGCAGATGCGTTGTCAGCCCTCAGGACTAAAATGGAATGCCTCTTTTCCAGTAAAAGCGGTCTCCGGTTCTCTACACTCACCATACGAAACACAGCAGCAGTGTTAAGCTACTATTTTACGCTGGTATTCTGTGAGAGCGTAAACCTACTCCGGTCGAGCCGACCCATTCGTGCAACAACTATACTATAACTGCATCATGGCTCTACCACGTAAAAACCCTATTTTAAAAGAAAGTTTATTTTATACTATTCAATTTATTTCATTTTGTTAGTTTGATATTTTTATTGATCCTTCTTATTGTTTATAAAACTGAAGTTACAAGTTTACAGTCCTGACCTGATGGTAAGTGGCTACTGGAGTCCTTAGACACCTGTAGCCATCTTAAAACAAAGAAAGATCTGAGTACTAAA